GAGCTCTGCCTCGGGCCGGCACCTCCAGGCGCAGCCTCCCCTCCGCCCCGGGCCCCAGGCGTCCGCGGGCTCCACCGTCTCCACGATCTGAGCGACAGCCATGGACTGCTCTAGAAGCAGCACACGCCTGTTTGCTAACTCAGAATCCACTCCCAGCCCACCGAGTGGCCTCGGGAAAGTCATTTACCTTCCAAGCGTCTCGCCTCTGCCAGCTGAGAAAGGATAGTCCCTCCTCGAAGGACCTCGCGGTTACGAGATCCGTGGTGTCTACAGTTTCAGAATCTGCATTACTTACTCACGAAATGGGAACATACTGGGAAGCGCTACTACAGCACGAGAAAACACCCCCGGACGCGCAAGAGGCTGGTCCCCCGGAGCAGGCCGCACGGAAGCCCCCGCCCCACACGCACGCGCACGGCCATCCGGACGCCTGCGCGGGGGCAGCAGCAGGGGCCTGTCCTGCATCGGCCTTTGGAGACGTGACGAGGAACAGATTCCTTCTGCCGATCCGATTAAAGCCTAAGGAACCAAGCAGTAGAAGAAAAGGTAAAACATACAGAACAGGGTCGAAGGAACTGACGAACTGAGACACAATCTCGTCCCCGGACCCCTCGATCCCCTTCGGAAAATGCAGACGCCTCTCACAAGTCTGTAAAAGTCACATTTGGTGATACAATAATTTTTAATTCTTCAAAATGGGGTTCGTATTTGAGAAATTAACTCTTGATTCCAGAAAAGCCCCTTTTAGACCCAGAATTTCACCAGAGGAAACAGAACCTTCAGCAGACCTCGAGGAGCCGAGCGGCATGGCCAGCGTCACACACGGAGCCTGGGACGCAGGTGTCCGGATTCCGGTCGTGTTCTGCCCTTCCCGGCCTGGGCGAGAGATGGCCGTGGGGAACCGCGAGAGCGTCCCCTGTGTCTGCTCGCTCCTGTCACACGCACGAGGACGGCGCGAGCGCTGCCAGGTGCGGACCGGGCCTCACGGAGCAAGGGGAAGCGAGCCTGCCCGGGAAGCTTACGGTCCGAGGAGGCGGGCAGACTTGACGGACGAGCTGACAGACAAGTATATTAAACGCCTCTAGCACCTTGAAGAAAATGACAGCTGTGACGAGGCCACACGGCCAAGGACGACGCGGGCCAGGGCCGGCGGCCGTGAGCAGCGGACAGCGGACACGGGCCTCATGTCTTCCCCTCAACGCCTCTTGGAGCCAACGAAGAGCTTCAGGCTAGAAGGCGACCTGACCACACGGCCCTCCAAGACTCGTGGGCAGGATGTGGGCGGGACAAGGCCGGCTCCGAGGGAGGGAGGCCAGTGAGGCCACGGGCCTGCGGGGACCCGAGCGTGGCCTGGACTGCAATGGATGGAAACAGAGTGACCGGGACTGAACAGAACGGACGGCACTTCACGAAGGGTCAGGTCGGGGACTCGAGAGCGACCCCGGCCCCGCGGCAGGCACGGCTGAGACCGGGAACCAGAGTGGCCGCTCCGAGGGGAGCTCGGGAACGCAGGCCCGGGTGTGTGAGACCTCACGAGCCATCCCCAAACGCCCAGCAGGTGGCCGAGGGGCTGCAGTGGGCGCTTCCGCCTGGCCTCGGCCTGCGCAGCCGGGGCCTCCCGCAGGGGCGGCCACGCTCACAGCAGACCCCGCAGTCCCCACCGAGCCCGGCCCGGCGAACCCGCGCCCAAGAACAGGTGAGTCGTCAAGGCCCAGACGAAACGCTGGTCGCTGCAGTTTGTGTCAGGTGTCCCAAGCCTGGCCACCGGCCACCTTTGTCCAGCACTCGCCACCCCCAAATAGTTCTGGCCTCGACAAACTCACGTCAGTCACTGGTAAACTGAACGGTTTCATAAGAATGAAACATTGGGGACCATCGACGACCAGACAGCGAGGCACAGCCGGAAACCCGATCCCATCTGACCCTGGATCAGGCACAGGGAGCAGCCGGAGCCAGGGCCGTGCCCGAGGCGGTGGGGCTGGGTTCGGGGCCGGCCTCCCTCCAGGCTGGTCACAGGCCGGGCCCAGACCCATGAGATGCTGGACTGCAGGGCAAAGCGGAGCCGAGCGCCGCATTTCACATCCAGTACAAACTCAAAGGCCCTTTCGACTCTGCAAATGAAAAGTGAGTGTGGAGCCAAGAGCCACAAAGTCACGACACTGCTCGCTTGCTGCTTCAGCAGATTTAGTGACACGAAGTCCTTTAACAAACGGGTCCAGTAAATGAAGAAACGACTTGGATTCTGCTGATTTTTTAAAACATAAGCCAAAATGCCCCAATCAAAATCACATGTATCTCATCACGATGAGTGAAATATTTTTAAAAACCTCAAACTTCTGAGTTTGAAGAGCCGGGGGAATTCTGAGGACTGGAGTGGACGGACACAGGAACGTGATGGTGACGAGCCCTCGGCCGGGCCCTGGTCAGGCTGTCTCCCCTCTGGACACGCCCGGGGCTGGCCAGCGTGCCCACCGGCCCTGGGGAGTGCAGAAAAGGCCGTCGCCCAGCCACAGACACTCGAGGCTGTCCGCTGGGAAAGGCCCTGTCCCACCCAAGTCCCTAACGACAGGTTTAACCAGTGTCCTGCTGCTGGACTCAACAGTCCTGGCACTTAAGACAGCATATGTTGCATCAAACGACAGAAAAAAAAATATTCAAAAACAAGGAATTTTAAAGTGCTCATTTCCAGAGACTTTGTCAAAGGAACTTTTAAAATACGGCTAAGACAATTTCCGTGGCTTCTTTGTAGAAAGTAAAGCCATCACCCCATTCACGGAAAGTTCTCTGAGAAGAGTAGTTAAAGTTTACGACACGGAGCCACAACGAGACCGACGCGGACGGGCCCGTGGGAGGAGGCGTAATGATCGGCACGGCGGGAAGCGTCTCCGGCAGACTCGGATGCAGACGGCCGGGGCCTCCCGCGTCCAGGTCGAGATGGCCGACAGCGACGAAAGGGCTGGGGCTTCGCTGGCTCTCCACCCTCACGCCGTGGTGGCCACGACGAGCCAGAGCGAAACGCAGGCCGACACGTGCGACACGTTCGTCTGAGGAGAGCTTCGCACACACACAGAAGCCACGGCGCGAGGGCCGAGCCGTCCCCGGCGCCTCCGACACTTGGCCGACCCTGTTCTGTGCATTCTTTGGCTTCTCTGGCACATTTCAAATGGAAAGTCAGACGACGAGTCATCGGATTGCGGTCTGCACGTTTAACCGCTCCACGGCAAACCTCACCCTGGGATGTTCGTGTCACCCGATACACGCCCTGACCGCCCTGGCTGTCCCCAGGTGTCCTCCCAGCTCGAGTCGGGTTCCTCTCGAGGACGCGCTGCTGCACCCCGTCCCCGGACGCCCCTCTTGTTCCTTGGCACCCCGGCTCTCCCGTCACCGCCGACTTGTGCGAGAAGCAGACCATCTGTCCCACGAACCATCCCGCGCTCCGATCTGGCTGGCTGTCCCCGGCCCCCAGCACGCCGGGCCTGAGACGTGACCAGACGCAGGCTGAGTGAGGCCTGCGCTCCGGGGCGGGCTGTGCGAACGGTGCCACCTACTTCCTGGCGTCTGCGCGTCTGCACGTCAGCGAAGCCTCGAGTGCCGAGGGCCTCCAGGGGCCCCTGACCTTGCACCGTAACGGCCCCGTCACGGCGACAGCCCAGCCCCACCGAGGACCACTGCCTGGAGCCACTAGAGGCTCCAAACGGGGTTCCCCAAATCCGTCATTCGCTCGACTGGGCAGCGAGGCTCCCCCAGAAACAAGAACTGCCCTCGTCGACTCTTCACGCACCCTGACGTGCACGTCACGTGGGAAGGCCAGGCGGAGGCTTCGTTCTTTCTCTTGACCACTCTTTAGAATAAGGGGCTGATGCCCCAGCATCCTCCGAGGGCGATGGGTGAGGTGACCGCGAACTGAAAGCTGTCACGTGGACGTCCACGTCAACACCTGTTTCGTGTCACGTGGGTGGTTCATGTCATGTGAGTGTACTTCACGTTACCGTGTGAGCGTGAGCGTCG